GGGGACGGCTTGCGCAGATAGCCCTCGTGTAGCTTTTGCGCGAAATTCAAAACAAACAAGACACTATAATTTTCCATTTAAACGAGGTAACTGTTTAATTAGAGAGATTATTACTGATAATAATAAATCTTTTTGTAACAATTTATTTACATAATACGCTGCAAAGAAGAATTTACATTTTTCTAATTAAATTTCTTCGTATCTTTTAAATCAATAAAAACAAGATATCAAGAATCAGTTTAACCGAATAGCAGAAAATACTAAAAACGAATAATTTTCCTAAACTTCACAGTACATAAACAAAAAAAATTGTAGCTAAGAAATTTGTTCAAGTTTTATTTCCGTATTTTTTTTTATTAAATCTTGTTCGAGGTTTTGTTGTACAGTCTCAATTATATCTCGAGTTGGTTTTCGATAGCGTAATTCTTTTTTCCGGTGTTTGATGGGCGCCGTACGAAACTCTAACACGCATGCTCCAAGTCACGAAGATTTACGTAAGGAAGAGCACCGTGGTAACACTAAGAGTCGTTCCACGCATTCTCGCCAGGGGTCGCTTCAACATTCTAGCCTAAGGTAACATTTTTATTATTTAGCTATACAGAAAAGTGTGCTTATATTTGTAAATAAAGTCGAGATGTTTTTTTTAATTATATAATAGTTTAATAAACACTAGGTAAGAAAACATCAAGTCTTAAATCCTATTTTTCTAAATTATTAATTTTTTTTAGCCCAGTGTGTATTAGAAAAATAAATACATATATAATTGATTAATTTCTAATAACCAAAGATATACTTTTCACCCTTAAAAGTAATACATGTATTTTATTATATATATATATATCAGTATTGACAAAGGACACAATGAGTCGAAAAAGGATTGGCAACACACTGTCGAATTTTTACGACGTGGAACCAGTCGACGTAGAAGACCCAATGAACAGGTTTGGTTTAAAATACATGCACAAAGACTTCATTATCGCATGACTTCTTGGCTCTTCAGGTTGCAACTTGTATGAGCATGCTGTAATTTTAAATGATATGCGTTTCTCTTTGAAGTTTGAATATGTTTCTGTTACTTATATGGTAAAATACTGCGATATTATCGAAATTGAATATTTACCTTGTTGAAAATGTACTGCAAGAGTTTTTATTTCTGTTATTAGTCAGAATACTTTTACTGTCATCATAGAATACTTAGTAAAATAAAACAAGCTTAAATCGTATTTTCCAACAGTATAATGTTTGTTAATTTCTTTTTTTACAACTTTTAGAGGCGCCATCTAGCAAACAAACAATAATCTCAGGCACACGTATTATATTTCTGTATAGATAAATAACATTTATAACTGATTAATTGGTCTTATTTAGACACAATAATTTATTATAATACTGAAATAATGCTTGTATTTACTCTACTCGCTATCATAAAAATGGCGGAATAAATTTCTTTTGTTTAATAGGTCAGATTCATCAAAGGTTAAGAAAACAATAGTACAAGTACACGCAACAGAAAATATTTACAATTTTCCTGTGACTCTTTTCTCCGAAGCTTCGTATTATCCAAAGGTCAAAGTAATAGTTTCATTCTTATGATTTTATAATCGTAAAAATGTGAAATCTGTCGACGTTAGGTTTAGTGAATGATAAAGTCACGGGTATGCAAACAGTAATGAAACAATTTAAAATTAATGAATGCGAGCCTAAGTAATAAGGTAACTACGTAAATATGAATACAACTATTGTAGCTTAAATTTGTTTGTTTGTTTCTGAACCTCGCGCAAAGCTACACGAGGGCTATGTGCGCTAGCCGTCCCTAATTTATCAGTGTAAGACTAGAGGGAAGGCAGCTAGTCATCACCACCCACCACTAACTCTTGGGTTACTCTTTTTACCTACAAATAGAGGGATTGACCGTAAGTTTATAACGCCCCCACGGCTGAAAGGGCGAGCATGTTTGGTGTGACATGGATTCGAACCCGCGACCCTCAGATTGCGAATCGAGCGCCCTAACCGCCTGGCCATACCAAGAAGAATAACGAATGTTTGACCATTTAAAGAGATGAGCAGATTATTACTTCATTTATTTTTTACTCGTTAGATGTCGCTTTAAAAGGAAAATTAAACTGGTATTTCTCTATGGTACTTCAGGAAGCAGGCAAGGAGAAACTTCGTGGCAGTAAACAAGAGGTTAAAGATAGATCGCAATCCCCTTCTCATCATACATCACCCCCACCCCTCCGAGGAACATCTCTAACCCCTACATGGCGATCTTCTTCTCCTTGCCGTGGCGTTTCAAATACGGTAACGGATCTTGGAGACCTAGAGAAGCACGAGACGACTCACTGGAGAGAGAAAGGTAGAAATTTATTTCACTTTTTTAAGTTTTTTTTTAGAAGGCAGATTTCATAAAATACATAACAGTGAAACTTACTAATTTCGTGTAATGTCACCTCTCAAATTAAAACTTGACTTCAA